GCCACCATCTGGAAAATATTTTCATATACTAGAGCTAAGTTCTCTAACGGCTTTAAGGCAAATGCCCATAGATCCATTTAGGACTATTTGTTAGAGACTTTGTTTTGAAAGCAGGACTCAGTGCATAAAAGTCTCAAACAGGAAGATCTTTAGTACTTGAGGAAGAAGCTTGATTCTTCAGAACGTTAGAACTTTCAAGATGTCAAGCTGAGTGTGGAGCCACACACCAGTAATCCCAGGATTTGAGGAACTGAGGCAGGAAGATCACCCCAAATTCAATGCCAGTCTGGACTACACATAAGCTTAAAATCAGCCTGAACTATACATAGCAGGACCTTGTCTCAAAGCAAACAAACAAAACGAAAACAACAATAAAAACCCAAGTCTTGCCCATCATTCTGTTAATGTAGTAACCTACTTGTTGCCAGGCATGGTGGTATATGCCTATAATTCCAGAACTTGGGAGGCTGAGGCAGGAGGATCACCATGAGTTCAAGGCCAGCCTAGGTTATATAGTGAGTTCAAAGTCAGCTTGAACTACATAGCAAGATCCTGTCTAAAAGAGAAAGAGAGAACCTAATCTTCAGAGAAACAAGAAAAAGGGCAGAGGATATAAAATCTAGTAATACTATTATTCACTGTTCAGAGTGACATTAGTCTAGTCTCTTAAGTTCAATTTTAGCATTCATAAAGATAAGGACAACTACTACGAAGAGAATGAGAGACACTATGGTAGTCACTAGTGTCTTCCCCAATGTCAGATTTTGAAGACCTAAAAAGTCTTCATCATCCTGTAATGATTTGATTAGTTCTATAATATGCAGTATGTATTCAATGTGTGTGAAGATGGGGACAGCTATGTGGAAGAAAACTAGAGACAAGAAGATAGACAGTGAAGAGCTCCAATGGACTTGCCTTGAAATCTGTATTTCTTTAAGTTGTTTCTTCTTGAACTGTTTTGTTCTGTTTTGATACATTTAATCTTACCCTCTTTAAGATAAAAAACAAGTGTGTTGGACTAATAACCATATTACTAAGTTTTTGTTGGATCATTGAGCAGAACTGTTGGCAGTGTCACTATTTGAATGTCACTTTACACACTTTAATTTTGTAACCTGAACAACTATTTCTAAGATGACAGTATGTGACCGGCGCAGCTCCCCAATGAGACAGGAAACGCTTCAGGTGGGTAACAGGAACTGCCACCTTTATTGTTGCGGGTTCTGGCTTATATATCTGACTGTAGCCAATCAGGCTGCCACGAGGGCTGCCACGAGGAGGCAGGGCTGGAATGAGACGCAGGCTCTGGCTAATATACTCAGGTGTGGTGAATACGAAGTGAGTACGGGGTGGCTAATTTGGAGAGGGACGTAGCGCATTGCGGAAGCTGGCGTGGTCCTTAGTCCCGGGTGGGGTATGTTGAGCACCTGTGCCCAACAAGTATGTAACTTATCAACTGGGGATTTCTTACTGTTTATTTTTCTGTAATTCTGTATTATTTCTACCCCTTTTTTCCTCCATGTTTTGTTTCTTTCTCTTTAAATAAAATAAAATTTAAAAATTAAAAAAAAGGGCAGTGGGACATCTCACTTCAAATGAAGTCAGGGAAATGGATAAAGCGTGGGAAATGGTGCAAAACATTGCAGAAAATCACCACCAGAGTGAGGCTGTGGCAGTGAAGTGATGAATCTGTTTAACGACAGTGCAATGTCACATTTCCACAAAATCCCCAAAAGGAGGTAAAAGCAGGTGTCATCGGACAGGCACGCTGCTAACACTGCATGCAGAGAGCCCAGTAAGCCGACAGACAGCAGAAACTCCCTTAGTGGGAGTGAAAGTCATCCTACCATGACCCCCTCTCTCGTCTCCCTTGGGCCAGCTACAGAGGTTTTCAAGTCAGACTAAGTTATTTTTCTTGGCATTTTGTGTTTCCTTTATTGCGTGGTACTACATTATAGTATTATAATCATTTTTATATGATTTTTGGGTCGTGTACCAAATCGTCTTGAGTTTCCACTGTTTCTTAAGGGGAAATTCACTTTGATACACAAGTAAAAATCTAGAGCTATTCATGCACTCACTGGATACTTAATACTTTAAAACTGTGGTTATTTGTTCATTTAAGATGAAGTCTACGTTTCCTAGGCTGGCCTCAAACTCTTGCTCAAGTGAGCCTCCTCTCTAGCCTCTCAAGTAGCAGAAACTACAGACATGCCACGATGCCCAGCTTCAAGTCAAATTTTTAAAATGTGATAATATGATGGTTATGTTTTTACAAACTGCCTATCTTCTAATGGAACATAGTGAAATGTTTATGAATAAAATAATATGGTATCTAACGTTCCCTTCAAAGTAAGCCAATAGAGAGAGAAGTGGTAGTTAGGGGTGAATTTAAAATTAATCATGTGTTGATCAAAAGTTATAAATACATAGACTTTCTTTGGCCTCTATACTTTGTGAAATGTTTGAAACTTTCCATAATAAAATAATTTAATGACACCTCCCCCTATTTCCTCTTGCTTCTCCAAAAAAAAGCCCTGGAGACAAGGTGTCTTAGCTCTTCCTCTAGGGTAGCACAGAAAGAGCACTGAAACGGAGTAATCGTCGCCTGGCAACCAGTACACAAGGTCCTGAAGGATTCGGCCAGCAGTGATAGCTCTGAACCAGAGAAGCCCAGCAGAGACTTACAGCTGGTCCTGAAAAATAAAGACCAAGAAGAGGCAGGGCTGGCCCAAGACTTCACCTGCTAGAAGGCTTGCCTGATTAGCCTGATGGACTTCTATCACCAATCATAGCCTTTAACCATAGAACAGGAAAAAAGCACTACCTTGCTCATTTTGGGGGGTGGGGTTTTTTTTGTGACAAGGTCTTGCTATGCAGTTTGGTCTGGCCATGAACTCACTGAAATCCTCCTGCCTCAGCCTCCCAAGTACTGGGATTACAGGTACGCGTCACCACGTCCTTACTGTGGTCATTTCACACTGATGGTGCATACAGCTCTGTGCAGAGGTGGACTCAGTAAAAGAGCAGCCACACAATCCCAGCCCCTATGAAGCTCGTAGTATTACAGGAAGGCCAAAGTCTTGGAGAGCAATCCTTTTGTTTTAAAAAGTACACACATGAAACATGGGAAATAGGAAGAGCACCAAAGTTTGCCTGTAATTAGGGGCAGACTTCACGGAAGAAACACATTTGGAGTTACAAGGGAAGACAAGAGTTGTATTTGCCAGGACAAGAACCAGAGGCAAGAGGTCGATTCCGGAATAAGGAAATGAATTTGAAGGACACAGTGTGAAACCACAAAGTGTTCTGGTAACAAGCATTTGCCTTGCGGCTGCATCAAACCAAGAATTCCAGTACCTGTTTCCTGATGCATAGACTGCTATATTTTATTCCTCATTCAGGACACGCTTGGGTCACTATGGACCTTTTTAAATTAGCTCACTGTTGGATAAAGGGGAAATCCAGCTTCAAGGACACCTCACAGCTGTAGGCCTGAAAGCATCTCACACGCAGATATAGTACGGGGAAAAAAAAAAGATGACAGGGCTTATGGCCCAACACAGAACACAAGGTGTGAGTGGTAACAACCCACTTCCTGTAATTACAGACCCTTGTGTAAGAAGAGAGAGGAGTCAGAAATCAATGCTCTCCACTTCTTTTCCAGCAACAGTCATGTTTTGTGTAGTAAAAATAATGACCAAAATGTGATTCCATAAATCACATGGTTTACTATCAAAGAAAAGTTTTAAATATTTTTTATGTTTATGAGTATGGTACGTAACCATTACATTCACTGTGGGAAATAGGTACATATACACAACTTAATTCTATTTACATCCTTCCCCGACTCCTCCGCAAGGGTAACTTTTTCTTAGGTTCACAATGCTTTAAAGAGAGGGAGAATGGAACAAATCTTCCAGGGAATAACACATCCAGAGGCCAGGTCGTGAACCATTTAGTGGGTGAGCTCCTAAATTACTGGTCCAGCTGCTCAGTCAGGAGAGCAGCGGGCCTTGGAGTCAAGTCTAACTGAAGATAGAGGTGGATCCTTAACACAAGGTTCTCAGGAGAAGGTGGGTTGATCAATTCGCAGGAGTAAGCTGGGCCACACGCTTAGCAGGGTGTGCGCAGCGCCAGGGCTCCGGCCATACTCAGGTTCACAGGATCCCCATGTCCGGCAGTGCGCGTGTGGGGTCCACGGGCCACTACCTTTCTGGGGGCGAGGGGCGAGGAGCTCACTCCAAGCTCTCATGCATGCCGGGTCTGGTAAGACCTGTCATTTTCAAAGGGAAAGGGAAATACACTTTTTTTTTTTTCTTTTTTGCGGTATGGGACTTAAGGTCAAGGCCTTGCACATACTCAGTTTTCTCATTTTGATTTTGAGCCGGGTCTTGACAAGTTGCCCAAGCTGTCTGGCAGGTGGGATCCACAGATGACAGGCATGTGCCAGGGGCCGGGCCTTATTTATTTTATTTATTTTTTGTCTTTTGGAGACAGGATCTCCGCTACGCAGTTCAGACTGGGCTTGAGCTCACTTTGTAGCCCAGGCTGGTCTCCAATTTGATCCTCCTGCCTCAGCCTCCCGAATGGGCTTACTGGGCTTTGGGTTCTTTTCAAAATCTTTTCCTGCGCTCCAGACAAGCATCAATGAACTCGTTCCAAACCTCGCCACTCGCCTCCGTAGAAGCTTCTAGTTTCTTCGATCGTTACTTTTCCAGATCTGGAGGCGCTCGACGTCCTGTGGCCCAAGCCCGGCTCCGGCCTCAGGGCCGCGCGTGGTCTACGCCACCGCAGCAGAACCTGCTTCCCTACTGGGTACCAGAGCCGGTTGCTGCAGAAAGCCCTGGGTACTGGCAGCTTCGCGCCTGTACCTGAGCACTCCGCTGGGCGAGGGGTGTCTGTGTGCGCTGACACCGCCCCTTCATAATCACGTCCCTGCGCGGCCACGCCCCCTACGCCGCCACGCTGCGCCGGGTTTGCGTCGCCGTGGCCCCGCCCCGTCGACCACACTCCTCTCAGGGTTGGCTGCGCGTGGGTACTGCTGGGTGCCTCTGCTCTGCGGCCCCACGCGTTCGCGTCCATGGCGTGGCGGGGCCGCCCCGAGGCCGGCGCGCTGGCGCTGCTCGCCCTGGTCCTGTGCGCGCGCGGGGCTCAGGGCCGGACGCTGCTGTGGCACTCGGCGGTGGTGGGCCTCGAGTACGTCGACCCGCGTACCAACCGCACGGTGCGCAGCGTTTCCGAGAGTGGTCGCTTCGGCGACGGCTCCCCGCGCGAGCCCCGGCGCGGCCTGGTGGGCGTCCTGCGCGCTCCGGGCGGGGACCCCGGGGGCTGCGCGCCGGACATGCGCTTTCTCGCGCCCGCCGCCCTCGCGCCCTGGGTAGCCCTAGTGGCGCGCAGGGACTGCCCGCTGCGGGGCCTGGCGCTGGCGGCGGCGCGCGGGAACGCCTCCGCGCTGGTAGTGTACGGCGAGGAGGAAGAGGAGAAGCGCGGCGAGCACCTGGCCGCCTCGCCGGCCCACGCAGGTGAACGCGGCCGTTGGGCTGGGCTGGAAAGTGGGGGAACCGAGGGAGGCCCCGGAGGAGGGGCGAGGGTCCTCCTGTCTGGGCTGAGCGGGGACCCAGAACTGAGTCGCAAAACTTGAGCTTTGAGTTCTGTGTTTGTTTGCTTGTCAAGCATAGGTTTATAACACTGGCTCCTCTGCCCTTCAGAGTCCTTCAGTTTGGTGGGGGAGCGGCTGGGGGTACCGGGAATCGAACTCATGATCTCGCGCTTGCCAGGCACGCGCTTCTTAAGCCGCTGAGTTACATCCCTTGAGTCGTTCAATATTGAGATAAGTTGGGGTTTTGTTTGTTTAAAGAAACTGTTCATTCTAGAGAAGACCTCTCTGTTCGCTAGGGAACGCATCTATACACTGTCCCTCGGGGCAACAGATTGTATTTTTTGTTCATGTCTTGTTTTACGGAAACACCATCTTTAAAACCGAATTCTTTCTGGGAAAGAGAGATCTTGCCTCTGTTAGGCCTTCTGAGGTCACTTTGGCTGTAGGTATCCCACCATTAACTCCGAGCGAACTTACTGCGATTTTTTTTTTAAATTTCTACTGCTACTAAATCAAATATCCTTTCTGTATTATACCATACAATACTCTTTTGTGTTCTTTTTTGCTTCTTAAATGCAGTTATGACCTCAGCCGCAAAATGAGGGCAGAAAAGTGACTTTGGGTTTGACATTACATGAATGTTCGGATTGGTAACCAGTGGAGAGGTTAGGAAGTGGAGACTTGGGGACAGATTGATGGGGAAGAGCAGAGCAGTGGGCAGGAACGCTAGTAGCCAGGGAGGGTGGGTGGAAGTGAATGGAAGTTGTGCAAGAACTCCTGGATGGAGCCGAGAATGAAGGACCTGAGCCTGTGAGAAGACAGGAGGGCTGGGTCTGGAGCACTTTCAGGGGGGTGCTTGGTGGCACCCGGTGAGGGTGGGAGTGCAGAAAGAAACAGCTGCCAAAACCCGTGGTCCGCAGTCCCGACCCGATGAGCTCATGCCCGCCAGCTTCTGGAGCTCCTTCTCTTCCAGGGACTCGAGGATTTCTCCTACCCACTTCTCTTACCTTTGCCTCAGACATAGGAAAACAGTAATTTAAAAATCTCTTAAACTGAGACAAACACAGAAGTCATTGATTTTTGAGAAGCACCACAAAGCTTGCCCTTGTGGAAGAAACCGTGTTGTTCTTGTCAAAGCTGTATGAACTCTACAGTGATGTGTAGGGCACCCTTATTGTTGTTGTTACCCTGAATAGGGATGGGATCCTTGCTAGGTGAATACTTTTGTGCATCAACATGTCTTGGGCTTCCTGGAACAGCAGGAATCTTAGCTAGGCGGTAGGACTGAGTGGCTCCACTTGGTCACCTCTGGCCTTGACCTTTGGAGATCTGGTTACAGTTGCCAGCCAGACCTAACAGAAGCCCCCTTTTAGGGTGCATTTGGAGTCCCCTGGCTTCTTTGTGTCTGCAGTGGGTTCCTCCTGACATTGCTGACTCTGGTGTGGAAGGGTCCTTGTCTTTCCCATGGCACAGAAGAGCCTAGTGCTGAGAACTGAACCCTGAGCCTGCCCATGCTGAGTGCAGGAGCTTCCCATCCTGCCTCCAAAACACTACTCTTTTCTATCCTTTCTGAAGTTTAAAGTGATATTTCCGTATCTGCAATATGATTGAAAATTTCCTAAGGGAAAAAATTTGGTGTCTTGGTGCATGTTAAAGTTTAAAAATGGTAAGAATAGAGTCTGGTTTTGATTTCCTTGTCTACTTAGGGCCTGAAACTTTTGTTTGTGGGCAGGGCAGGGGACAGAAACCAGCAGTTTTCTGAATGAAAGCATTTGTCACAGAAGCTGCCTCAGCCCTTCCTGCAGCACATTCTTACTGCCTGAGCAGTGTAGAGAAGCCGTCCGGCGTCGGCCTCACTGCTTACGCTCCATTCCTGTCCTGAACATGTCTTCCACATCTACTCTATTTATAGTCTGTACTGCCTTGCTTCAGTCAGGAGTTGATCTTCTCACTGAGAGGTCCTGGGGTCCAGAATTATCAGAGTGATTAATACGTGTATTTGGTGTTGGTGTCTTGGTTTGACAGTAAGATAGTACTTTCTTCTCAGAAAAATAAACCCAGGCAGTGTGTTTAGGTACCTCATAGTGTTGACCTGTAATTGTATCTGTGCAGTAACCTTCCTGGAGGTGGAATTGCTGGTCAGAGAGACACGCGTTCTTACGCGTTCTTAAAAAGTTTTTGGCAGCGCTTATACCCATACCAGAGTATAATAGGTCACAGCCCTCCCCCAAATTGTGCTAGGCTTGGTAGTAATTTGTGCAATCCAGCTACATGGGAAACTGAGGCAGGAAGATCACAAGTTCAAGGCAACTTAGTAAAAACCTGACTCAGTACTATTTTTTTAAAAAAAGAGCTTGCCTAGCATGTGGAAAGGAGGGGGTTCAGTACTTAAAAGAAGCGTGCTGACATGTGCGTATCCTTGTGAATGTAGTGCATTGAACTTTGGTCTATCAGTCTTACAAATATATTTTCGTTTGGACCACAGGTTTTCATGTGTTTCAACTCCATCGAGTAATGAGTGCTACTGGGCACAGGATTTCTCTTTGGAGTGATGAGAATGTTATGAACAAGGTGGTGGTTATACTTGGACAACCTTGCCAGTTTACCTAGAATCTGAATTGTGTCTTTTAGGTAGGTGGTTTTTTGTGGCTGCTGCTTGAGAAGCCTTTTGTGTTTTATTTCCTACAAGTTGACTTCCCCTTTTCTCTTTTTTCTATTCTCTCCTCTTTTTTTTCTTGGCTTTTCTTTGTTTTTTTCGAGGCAGGATCTTGCTATGCGTTTCAGGCTGGCCTTGAACTCACTAGATTTCTGCCTCAGCCTCTTGAATGCTGAGATCACAGGTGTGCGCCACTATACTGTCTCTTTTGTTTTTTAATACCATGTTTGGTTTTACAATCTTAGGAGTAATTTCAAATCTTTCTTTTCTTTCAGTCAGCTATAGAGCAATTTTAATCTCAATAAATTTACTTTGTAAACAGTGGTGTTCTGCTTTCTGGTGTAGTTCTTGGTGATTTATTGTACTTTTTCTAAATGTGATCAGTCTGGTTTTTTCAGTTGTTTTTGAACTAGTTTTAGTAATTGATATTTTCCTTAAAAATTACCTATTTTATCAAAGTTTTCAAATATATGTGGTAGGCCGGGATGTAACTCAGTGGCCTCTGCACAAGGTCCTGAGTTCGATTCCCAGTACCCCAACTTCCCCCCAAATCAAATATATGTGTTGATGAGCATAGTACTGTAAACTTCCTCTTAACTTTATCTTAAGTTCTTTGTGTTGGTACCTTCTTTCCTTCAGGAACAGGAAATATAGTGGTCGTTGTGGTAAGCTACCCAAAAGGACGGGAAATTGTGGATCTGGTCCAAAGAGGCATCCTGGTGAGAATGACCATACAGATTGGAGGCAGTCACATGCAGCTCGCTGACAGTCATCAGCCCTTTGTTTTTGCATTCATCACCGTAATGATTCTGTCCTCAGCCTCACTGGTATTTTACTGTGTGCAGTACTTTCTGTACACTGGCTCGCCACTTGGAAATCAGGTGATTATGGGAAATAGTTGTGCTTTTAAACAGATAGTTCATAAATTCATCCTGTATGCTGCCTTGAAATTATTTTGGATACATTCCTGATTTCATTTAAGTGTTCAAATGAGTTTTGAAAATAACTTTAGTTGGAATGCACGAAATGTTCTGTTGTGTGAGAAATTAGATATTTTTGAGTCTGAGTCACTTTGTACCCTTCATCCTTTTCTAGACAGAGAGGAATGACAAAAAGTGTGAGCCACCTGTGCCTGCCCAGCTGCACCTGACCTGGGGGTGGCGGCAGGGAGGAAGGGCTGGCTGTCTCCTGCCAAGCAGCTGTCAGCCCCTTCCCTGCAGAGCTTTCCTCTGCCCCTGAAAAGGGCCCTTCCTGGCTTGAGGCCTGGGCTGGACACTTTTCTTCAGGGACCTTCATATATCAAGGAGCTGTTAACCCATCCTCACTTGCTCCTTTCTCACTGCTATTTAAACATAGAAGTTGTTTTCTTGGGACAGGGTGCAAATCTCAGTAGTAGAACTGTGTTTAGAATATGGGACTTAAAAGTAAATTTTCCTGAATCTCAGTGAAGTTGCTAAACTTTTAAAATGAATTTTTCTTTATACTTATAATGAATTACTTTTTAAAAACAGTGATTAAACTGGGTGTGGTAGTGAATTCCTATAATCCCAGCATTCAGGAGACTGAGGCAGGAGGATTGCTGCCAGTTTGAGGCCAGCCTGGTCTGCAAAGGGAGTTCAAGGCCAGTCTGAGTTGTGTAGCGAAACCCTGTCTCAAAAAGACAAATAAACATATGATCAAAATTTTTAGTAATAACAATATTTTCTTCCTCAAGAGCCACAGAAAGAAAAGTAAGAAAGTTATTGGCCGGCTTCCACTTTGCACAGTAAAGCATGGAGAAAAGGTAATGTCTCCACAGTGTTCGATGGTATAGACAAGGGGATGTGTTTGTCTCTGCAGGTGCACAGGAGCCAACGTGGGGTGCGTAGGCAGGTTTGAGAGCATGCTGACTTCTGGGTAGGTGCTTTTCTCTGAAGGAAGGCTGGCTGAGACACTGTGTAAAGACCTGCAGGTCAGTGGAGTAGCTACTGGCCACACGGCTGTGTCAGTTCAGTTACATTTTATTTAAAAGGCACTTCCTCCATGGGAGTAGCTCCTAAGTGTCTGTAGTGTTTCTGCAAGGTCAGCATGCACTGATGGGGGTCATTCCCAGAACACCAGGCTAAAGGCTCAGGGAGGGAGGTTTTAAGGGGTTTCAAAGGGTTGGAGTTAGAGGTTACAGAGTTAGAGCACTTGGCTGTTTTTGATTGGTTCTAACAAGATGCATTGTAGTGACCAGCTGTGTATCACAGAGCCCAGCTGTTTCTAGAAAACAAGCAGCTGGAACAGCAACAGAACTGTACCTGGGCAGCTAAGAAACAGAAATGTGGTGGCTGGGGTACATTTTCTGTCCCAGTTCTGATGGCCAGTGTCTAGTGTAAGGTCCTCTTCAGTTGCCTGGTGGTTGCCATCCTACCTTCACACCTCTGACATTGTGCACAGTACTGACGTCTTTCATGCAACAAATGTGCTGAGCAGAGAAAGTAATAAAATTTTAAAAACCACTTCTCATGGCTTAAGATTAGCACCCAATTAACAGATCACCGAGGGCTGTTTGGAAGGGAGTCCCCACCCAGCTGGCATCTGGCCAGTCCTGCACAGTTCAGCATAGCGAAGGTACTTGACAAGTGTGTGCTTTTGTGTTCCTCTTGGAACATATCTCCTCCTCTCCCTCGTAGGACATCAAAGTCCTCAAATAGGAGACTGTATAGATTCACATACATTTGACTTACTTAAGTCTTTGAGCACACTGACATCTTCCCACAAGTATACTCTTGAAAATGTGCTGCTAGGGGCTGTTTTCTTCGAGGTTGTCAAGGTAATAGTATAACAGAAGTGGGGGGTGCTGTCACCCATAGGTTCTGAGAAGTCAGATCTTGTTTTCAGACTGCTTTCTCTGGAACAGACCTTTCCAAAGGGGAAGAAAACCATGAGATTGGGGATGGAGTAAGATATATTATATAATATACCAGCTCCCCATAATGCACACAGTCATACTATACTATAAAATGTGTTAATAAAAATAAAACAAAAAAAGACTGCTTTCTCCTTAGCAACTTTTATTTCTTTTTTATTAATTCATTACATAAAAAATGGTGACTTTCTAATTTTTTCTTTTGTCACTAGTGAGGTATTTGCAGTTAAGTAGCCATTTGTATTTTCTTATTTACAACATACCTCTTTAGCAAGTATAGGTTTCTTTTTAGTGAGTCTAGAAAAGAAGTAGCTTCTTGTCTATATTGTAAATTTTGTTTGAAAAATAATGTATTTTCTTGTAATACAAACAGACATTTGCATCTCTACAGCTTTTAAAGCACAAATACTAAACTTCAGAGCACAAGCTTAGTACTTAAACCCTGTTCATGTCAGTTTAGGCACACAAAGTTTTCCTCCCCATCAGATTCTTCAGGTACCTCTCAAAGAGGAGATGAAATTGTCTGTGTTTTATTTGGAGGTCGTGCCAGGGAGCCACCATTGTTTTATCAGGATTGGTGCACTGTATACCAGGGATACAGTCAGCTCTCTCTGGTTCATTTTCAGGGTGTCGATGTTGATGCTGAGAACTGTGCAGTGTGTATCGAAAATTTTAAGGTCAATGATCTCATCAGAATCCTGCCGTGCAGGTACGGTCTTTTTACCTACTAAGACTTTCACAGTTGCGTGGCAGATTTCAGGATTTAGATATGTGTGGTCTATGTCTTTTATGATGTGAAGATCTTGCTGTCTTGGGATAGAATGTCTCTCACAAGAGCCTTCGGCTTTCACGTCATCTTAAGGCCCTTTAAAATTACCTCGTGAGGACTCAGTGGCAACTGTGATTCATCTTTGTCATAGATGGCCTCTGGGAGGCTTCTGAGGAGCCCTGGGACTCTCATATGCTTGGCCATTCGAGGGGTGCGCTCTTTGTTTGTTTGTTTGTTTTTTGTCTTTTTCGTTTTTATCGGTACTGGGGATCGAACTCACAACTGCCTGCTTGCAAGGCAGGCGCTTATGCCGCTGAGCTAAATCCCCAGCCCGAGGGGTGCGCTCTTTAAAAGATTATTTTGTTGGCAGAACAGTTTTTAGACAAATCTTCCTACTTTTTTTTTTTTTTTTTTTTGTAGCAGGAATCCAATTCAGGACCTTGTGCTTGCCAGGCAGGCGCTGTGCCACTGAACTGTATCCCTAGCCCTAGCTGTACATTTTAACTCTGTTCTATCTCAGTTAAGTTTAACTTAGACTCTGCTTAGAAGCAAAGTCCCAAGCTAGTGTCCTTATGTTGCTGTGAAGGAGACAGGAGCAAGTAATGAGATCACAGAGTAAAAGTTTCCTAAGTCACTGGCTCAACTGCAGGCATTTCTGTGGGGTTGGTGCAGGTGGATCATGTCCTGGAACCAGACACAGGAGCTGCAAAAGTTTTTGCTGGGGGGTGTCTGGGGCAGTTCCTCCTGACCTCAGATCAGTGCTCCGCAGGCTCCATGCCCACGGCTGGGCTGCAGTCTGCCTGCACCCTCAAGCCCAGGCTCATGACAGTGTGTGCTGCCTTTTTCCTTCCTTGGGATTTTAGCTAAGCCCTCATTTGCTCCTGTGCTTTATGTAACACTTCGCCCAAAACCAGTATTTATGTCTGTGTATGTTTTTGTAAAAGTTACTCCTTTGTAGAGGCTGGAGATTTAGCTCAGTGGCATAAGCACCTGCCTTGTAAGCAGGTGGTCGTGAGTTCGATCCCTGGTACTGATAAAAAGAAGAAAAGAAAAAAAAGTTACTCCTTTGAGTTAGTCAGTTGTAGTTTGAGACTAGAAAAGTCAGAAGAAGACAAGATGGACTAGACCAGTGATAGCAAAGCTTTCAGAGCTTTCAACGGTGACAGCCCACGGCGGCACACATGCCAGTTGTTTGCCACCACTGGTCGAGACTGTGATGAAGAACTGTTGTGTTTTTGGAGACAGGGTCTTGACCTGTAGTCCAGCCTGGCCATGACCTCATTACGTGCCTTGAACTCATGGCAGTCCTCTTGCTTCAGCCTCTTGAGGTGCTGGGGTTACAGCCATGCACCACCATGCCCAGCAAGAGCTGTTTATTTTTAACCTAGCTAGTGGATTTCTGTTTAAAGGAAAGACAGTGAAAAACCATAGTAATGGTGAACTGGTTTAGGTACGTGCTGTGTCTGGCACTGTATCCCAGTGCATGTGGCCTTCAGGGCCCGTGGTGTAGCTACAGAGAGGAGGGAGCTGGTCCAGTTGCCCAGCCGAGGTGTCAGCCCATCTCTCTTTGTTCTTAGCACCTGACCTTCACCACTTAGAAGGGACAATTAACCAACTGAGGCAAATCAGCAAAAGAAAAAATACGTGCTTTTTAAAAATTCTGCGAGTGATAGGCGCTCGTTATAGGAAAATGCAGAATTGTATAAAAATGTTTTTGCACCTACCATACAACAATGACGTTAATATTTTGCTGTATTTCCATTTGAGTCATTTTACAGTTACATAAGACTGTTTAGTATTAGTTTATGCCACATTTAATCCAGAAGGCATGAGACACACAAAACTAACATGTAGCCAAAGGTGCAAATAAGCCATGCTGCTTGTGGCTGGCAGGAGAATTTGCTGGAAGTGGGAAGTGGAATAAAATAGACTAGGATGTTGATTTTATGTTGGCTAACATGTAACAAGGGGTGAATTGATAGAATGTCTTATTTTCTTTATGAGATACATAAACATTTATTTTAAAACATTAACACATACTTAATCTTTTTAGGCATATTTTTCATAGCACATGCATTGACCCATGGCTTTTGGATCATCGAACATGTCCAATGTGTAAACTTGATGTCATCAAAGCCCTGGGATATTGGGTTTGTTATGTTTTCATTTATATTCAATCTTTGCCCCAGCTCTGCTGAGTAATTCCATTTTATTGACCAGAGGCAACAGGAACAGATGAGATCTTCCTGATATCCTTGTAGTGTTCTAAATAAGTTGTTCTGTCTAGTAATAGTTTTTAAGATAGTCCAAACTACAAACTGAATTCATGATAGAATAATGTGCTGCGATGTTTCCCGAGAGTTACAGTTGCTTAGAACAGTGCGTTTTGGCACACTGCTCTGCAGGATGTGTGCATGCTCGCCAGTGGGTTGTGCACAGACAAGAATCGTAAAAATGAATGAGACAAAATGTTCACACTTTTTCTGGCTTAAGGTACACACTTTACATAAGAGGAAACCAAAGCCAACATGTTAAAATACCTACCCTCCCGGTTCCTGGGTTTCAAAAATTTAATGCCAGAGAAATTTGTCCACTTTTCAAACACAAGTTTGCTTAACACTGTGGTCCAAGTTCTAACCTACTGCCCCTCTCAAAGAGAAAGGCACAGGGAGAGCAGTAGATTTCTCCAGGGTGTTATATTTTGTGTTATTTTCCGTACTTTCAAAATATCCTCAAGAAATAGTTTTTAACTTTTAAAACCTTTGAAAAAGTCAGTGTCAGATCCCTTTCTCTTGCTGGTACAGTTTTACTTTCTGTTGTTGATGGTTGAGTGGAAAGTGTAGGGGATTTTTCTGTGATGCTCATTTCATGCTCCTTAGGCCCTGACAGCCCTGTAAGCAAGGCACTGGGGTTGCAGAGGATGTGGCCACTAGACAGGCATTACCCCAGGCTGCAGGTATGCTCGGGAGGAGGCATGGCCGGGCTCCGAGCCCTCAGCTCCACTGTGCACTTGTCTCTCCTGTGGGTCCCAGGATGCCCTCACTGTAAGCACACTGGAAGGGGAGGTCAGCATTCAAAAGCTGTCTTGCCACCACCTCTTCATCCTTTCCTGGCCTGAAAATCCATTCGTCTTCCACAATTTCCCTCTTTCTACTTAGTGATGGTTTTTATTATGTTCCCACCAGCTTGAATCACCAGTAGTACATGTGTGACTGTACCACTGGTGATACAGAAGGACCTAATCACTTTTATTAGTCTTTTTACTAATAAGAAAAATAAAAAGCCACACCTGGTGGGACAGTCACACACCTCTGGTGATTCAGGTTGCACAGCAGTGAGACGTAGGGATCTCAGCCCTGTCACTAGCCTGTTAGCCATTGTAGAGTCCTTTGTATGGCGCAGCACGGTCCCTGGTGGCTAAGGGCCCTGCTCCAGAGATGGGTTGGCCCAGTTTAGCCTGTCAGTGATGGGACTCGGGAAGCGTGGTGGATCGTTTTCCTGGCCAGCCTTAGAGTGCTCTTTTTCACCAGGCACTCGTTAAAGCTCCTGCTTTCTTCATTAGTCAGTGATTTCTGACCTCCTTCATTTCTCAGCATTTATGTAAAGGAATTTCACCTGTCCTAGCTCATGGATTTCATCCTCAGTTTCCTTTCAGGAGTTACAGCTCCATGTATGCTTCATGTATTGAAAATCCAGTCTTCACTTTATGTGAGGTTAAGTTGGTTTCTTAGAACATTAATTTCAGAATGCTAGAGCATGTGTTCCCAGAATGCTTTGGTGTGTTTTTTAAAGAAGTCAAACCGGGCCTGATGGAACAGGCCTGTAATCTCAGCACATGGGAGGCTGAGGCAGGAGGATCCTTTCAAGTTAAGAGACTAGCCTGGACTAAAAAGTGAGCTCAAGGCCATCCTGAATTGCGTAGCAAGGCCCTGCTTCAAAAAGACCAAAAAAAAAAAAAAAAAAAAAATCAGTAATAACCTTTGAGGCTAAGGAATTTGCTCCTCCTGTAATTGCTCCATCTTAGACTATAGGCCCCTCCTGGAGTGACCATACTCGATGGCCTTGACAGGCCAGCTCCCCTTTCCTCACACCCCTGTGACAGCACTGGCCCTCTCAGCGCTCTGGTGATCCTTTCTCTGCACTTCTGACCAGCTCAGTGCGTGCTTCTCCCATGTGCGTTTATGTGCGGTGCTGATGAGAGCACTGCCTTGGGTGCATGAGACCTGAACCAGACCAGCCACAGCCCCGTGCCCAGGGACTCCTGGGGACTTCACTCCTGGGACTGGTGGGGAGGACCAGGCGTGGCAAGCGTAACACATGGGAGGTCCTTCTGCTGCCAGGGTGCTTGAGAGGATGGAGGGATGTGGGTGGTGCCACTGTTGGGGATACAGCCTAGCCCAGACCCTGGGTATGGCAGGTCGCATTTCTGAGACCAGAGCATTCCTGTCCCCTCCCCAAGAGGCAGGAGAGTAGGAAAGCTACCCTTTCTGTCAGGAAGTAACTTAAAAGGTAACAGTGCTGGTATCAGGGGAGGGTGCTGGCTTTCACAAAGGGAAGAGAGAGGTTAGCTGCTGCTTGCTAAGAAGGGGTGCGGGCCATGTGCTGTGAATTATTAACAAAACAGTAGGCAGACTGCAACCCTGTCTCTTGGCAAAAGCAGCTTCTTCTGTTTCACTTCTGCAGGGAGAGCCTGAGAGCGCACAGGAGCTGTCTGCTGCAGAATCTGTACCCGGAAGTGTTTCTGCAGAGACTCTGAGTGGGGTGCTCCTGGAGGAAGACACAAGCGTCAGTAGCCACCTGCTGTCACCTTCATTGTCCTCATCAATGTCCCCCAGTGAACCTGGGCCTCAGTGCTCCACCAGGTGTGCCGAGGACACAGGGGAGGACATGCAGTTGCTAGGTAAGAGGCTAGAGGGGCTTTCTAAGCCTGGTGTCTTTAAGAAGCTCCTAAATGCAGAAAGCCATAAACAAAAATGAAAGCCCCAGTCTGACATCCGGAGGTAGCACTGCAAACTTCTGATAAATAACTTTGCAGGTCTTCTTCCCTGTTTAAGGGTGGGTGCATATGACTCCTGAGCTGTTGTGTAGCCTGCTTTCTTTACTTCCTGTAGAACACTATAAGTGAAAAGATGCAGTGTTACAGCTGCCTAGAATCACAGTGTACCTCGCTTCAGGAGTTTAATTCTTTCCAGTTCTGTTCTCAAGCCCAACTGGACAAGAACAGAGTCCTCCATAAGGTCAGCATTAAACCTGACCATTAAATTTGGTTCAGTTTGGGGCCAGAATCATGAAAGCAAGTTCATGAATGGAAATGCCACCAAACATTTTAGATTTTGGCTTTTTGTTGTTGGTTTGCTTTGCTTTAGGGTTTTCAGATAGGCTCTTGATGTGTAGTCCAGGCAGGCCTCGGACTCACTTGAACTGGTAATTTTCCTGCCTCAGCCTCCCACATGCTGGGATTACACACCACACCTAGCAATTTTATGTAATTTCTTTAAACGGTTTCTTTGTATAGGGGCACACACCTGTAATCCCAGCACTAAGGAGGCTCAGGCAGGAAGATAGCTCCAAATTCGAGGCCAGCATAAGATACTAAGTTCAAGGCCAGCATGAGCTGCGTAACAAGACCCTGTCTCAAATTTAAAAAGTGAACTATTAATAAAAGTGCTTATCGTAATTCTTTGAAACACATTGTACATTATTACTTACTTAATTGTATCTTTCTGGTAGATTGCAGTGAATTCTTGTTTTTGGTCATGGATGTCACTTTTTTCATTTTTTAAATTCTTGTATAAATTGTTTTATCCATAGCTGCTGCATTTTTTCCCTTGGTTTTTCTGTGGCAGTGCGGGTTTTTCACATTAATTCTTAAAGCTCTTCACATGTTAGCAACATTAAGCCCTGCCCTCATTTCTATCCACTTGATGCCAAGGATTGTCCCACAGGCTCTGCTTGTGCTCAGCACCGTGCATTGTAGTCACCCCCCGTTTATGTGTCCTTTCACTTCTGTTACATTTTCCAGATAGAAACTTGTAATTTTTGCCAGGTGCAATGGCACACACCTGTAATCCCTGCTCTTGGGAGGCCGAGGCAGGAGAGGTGCTGCAAGCCCAAGATCAGCCTGGGCTACCAAGTGAGTTCAGGGCCATTGAACTGCAGAGCAAAACCATGTCTTACAAAGACCAAAAAAAAAAAAAGACTCAGTCATGCCCTTCAGAAGCTCCTTTTCAGTTCCTCGCTGTCCCATCCTCCCCTGTCACCTATACAGCCTTGCGGGTTGCTCTGGTCTCTCTGAGATGCTGTCTTAGAGCTAACATCATGGAGTCTGAGGTAGTGGGCACAAATGGAGAAGGTGGCTAAGGCAGCTAGCCGCACAGCACAGCAGAATGCAGAGCGCTCTCCTGAGTATCTTTGCAGTATGTGACCAAAAGTAGAGATATTTTGCTGCCTGGTAACTGTCCAACTGAAAGGCAGGCTCGTGGCATGTACCTGTCACTGCATCTGGCACTCTGAGTCTCCTGACTCTGCACAAAGTAACCATGCAGGGTAAATGTTGTGCATGGATTCAGGACATTGAGGCAGCCACAACAGGCAGCTAGAGACACTCAGGAAAGAGCGCTTCCAGAACTGTTGCAGAATGTGGCAAGAGACCTGGGATCAGTGTGTTTGAAATCTGGAGGGTATTTGCAGGGGGATGAGCAGCAATGTATCTCTCTCTGTAACAAATTTCAAGCAGTCTCTGTGTTTTAGTCACATATCATGTATTAGTTCCACTTGTAACAACCTTTACAGTCAAAGGGAGGATAGATGAAGTTTGATGTATGTTAGAGAAAAAATAACCAATTTTGGTTAGTTTTTAAGCAAAGTCAGTGTAGTGGGACCTTGGTTTACCAGCTGAAATCATTCCACAATTCTAAAAAGGATGGCATTGGTTATTTGTCACTCAATGCAGAAACAGAATTCTGCAGATGTTTCTGTTTGCAACAAGAGCCTGTGTGGACCGAGGCCCCACTGTGTGCGGCGTTCCTTAACCATGGTCCCCAGTCCTTTCACTTGTGCTTGCCGTTAGGTCAGACGGAGCCCCTGTACATACCAAGTTTTGTTTTTTATGATGTGGAATTGTCCTTCAATTCTACTAGTGGCTGGCTCTTTATTGGAAAAATACATGTTCACCGAAGAAAGTATAATTCAGAACCTACAGAGAATGTTATCATCCTAGGAGATCTGTCTGTCCAGTTCGCTCAGTCAGTTTGTGTACAATTTTGATTCCAGCTCCTCCTGTCATAGTAAGATTCTTGAGTAGCTTTGCTGAAATAAGCTGAAAAACCAGATTCTATATGAGTAGCTACTGAAATAGGAAATTTGCTGGGTTTGGGTATCCATGTTAGCTAATAGCCTCACGGTCAGTTGCCGTAGTTTAAGGTCTGCCTTTTGTGGTCAGTGCAGATAGTGTGCGCCCCTGGGGCGGGGGATTTCACTCCTTATCCTTGAGGAGAGACTAGGGAAATCCATCCGCGATAAGGCCCTTCAGCCTGCTGGGTGTTGGGGAGAGCCCAGGAACTTGTTCATGATCATTTCCCCAGTGTGATTTCTGTATTGGCAGCCGTGGAAACAGCTTCCCATAACTAACTGTTGCCAGGTTCTTTGCTGAAACTTTGAAGATGGTAAGATGCCAGGACCCTGAGGGATGCAGGTGAAGCATGTGATAAGTCCAAGCTCTGGTTTAGTTGTTGGTGGCAGTAACCACTTTCCAGCTTGCTCACTCCATGTGGAGCTGTCATGTTTATCTCTGAAACCCGCAGGTGACTGCAAAGCAGACGGCATGTGAGTGACACCAAAGCCCGTGGCTCCCATCTCCCCGCAGAGACCCACGGCTGCAGGGGCACAAGTGCGGGGCAGCACCGCAGGTAATGGTATCTCACTTGCTGGCTCCTGCAAGCTTGCTCCCTGTGCCTGCTGAGGAATGATGACACAAAAGGCCGAATTGCAGTGTCCCCGTCTACAGTTTGCTCTCTGTGGGCTCACGGTGACAAAACTTCCTGAAGCGAAACAGCGCTCTGACCTCAGCAGTGCCAGGCGGAAGGGTAGTAAACACCTGGCCAAAGGCTGGTAGAGCCTCGGCAGACATGTGCACGTGTGGGTGGAACACCAAGGGTGACCGCCTGGCGAGCTGGCCTGAGCCGCCAGCAGTGAGTGCTGACCACATGGAGGTGTGACCGCACCAGGGATGAGGTTAACTCAGGGTGCGCATCGCTCACTCGACCCTGAATAATTACACTTAGTCCAAAGCGATTTCTGCAGGCTCCTCGGCGATTTCCAGACACAGGGTGTTGGCTTAAAGCAGAGCTAGGGTTGGGGTGGGGGTCTGCTCTGACACAGCTGCTAATTACAGAAGCCACCCATGCCTTTTCCAACCACTAGTGTAAGGCCTTACACGTCTCAGCATTGTTTTCCGAACACTGGTCCCTGCACTACTGGTTAGGAAAGTGGAATGTCTCAGGGTCAGCTGTGCAGGCAGATACGCCCTCTCCCTGTGCACCAAAGTGTAAAATAGCTGTGATTTGAAAACCCTGTCAGGCATGGTGTGTGTCTCTGTCATCTCGGCACTTAGGAGGCAGAGGCCTGCCTAAACTACACAGCGAGACCCTGTCTCAGAAAGCCAAAAAGGAAAAAAACCCGTTTGTGCTGTGTTCATCTAAAATGTGAGGAGAAAGTTGATCTTTTTGATGAGTCGGGGGCTAGTGAGAAAGCAGGACCTCCCGTTGGCTGACAGGTACTGGATCCCAAGGTGACATGGGTGTTTTTGATCACCTGAGCCACATTTCTGATATGAACAGTGATGATTATGTAACAGCAAACAACCAGCTGTAACACAAAATCAGCATTTTAGTAAGTAGAGATGACTAGAGATTTAGTATGTAAAAAGCTAATTTTCATTAATTTTCCAGATACCCTATGTTCTTAAAGGAGTCATTTAAAATATATAATAGCAGCCAGGTATGGTGGCACATGCCTGTAGTCCCAGCACTTGGGAGGCTGAGGCAGGAAGATATCCTTGCAAGTTTGAGACCAGTGTGACTACAAAGTGAGCTCAAGGCCAGCCTGAACTGCATGGTGAGACCCTGTCTCAAAAAAGCAAACAATTAAAAAATTAAATATGTAACAGTGTACTACTGAGAGCCAGCTGTGAATGAGTATGTGCTAAGCAAATTGAGTGCTGTGACTTTTGTAAAGCTATTCACATGAATAAATACTTCCGATGAAAATTACTGGAGTGGTTCTGTACAGGATTCCAGACTTTTCTTTAGAAATAACTTCTCTTTCTGTGCTGTTATTTATTGTTGTCCTTTTTCTTCAACAGGTGGCTTGAAGATACTAAAGTTGGAAGTTGGAACTAAAAAATGCCAAGAATTCAAGGTGTTTTATTTAATGAGTTGTCAGGCTCATGACGTGAATGTCAGGGTTAGTTCCATTTCAGGTGAATGAATGTCTTTTCTGAGACATCTCATGTTGCTGAGGCTGGTTTTCAGCTTCTGAATTCAAGGGACTCCTCTGCCTTAGCGTGCTGAGTAGCTGGGACCACAGATGGAGGCCAGTCACGATCAGCATCTACTCACGAGGCTGAGGCAGAGGACACAAGTTCAAGTCCAGCCTGGACAACTAGTGAGACCCTGCCTAGAAATTGAAAGACTGGGGGACAAAGCTCAGTGATACTGTTTGTCTGGCATGTGTGGGTCCTTGGATTTAGTCTCCAACACTGCACCCTAAAATAAAAACCTCTCCTTCTGGTGGTGTAGACCTGTTTCATTTCTTATAAAATGTGCTAGAGTATTCCTCTATTTACTGTTCTTTCTAAGGAGTCTTTTCCAGTTGAACACCGTATTTCTTTCTTCCTAAATTTGCAGTTTGAGAATTCACCCAAAATTTATGATCCCCAAACCCCACCTGCAGCCCTATTACAGATGCAGGCAGCAGTGAGAAACTCGTACTGAGCACTTGGTCTGCAGGTGTCTGGCAGTAATGGTGATAAAGATGGGCCTGAGTCTGAGCACAGGGACATGCTTCTTGGCAACCGCTCCCTGGTCCCCAGAGTGCCACGCTCAGTGCCTTTGCACTTGGCACCTCACTGTGAAAGTGGCCCCTGGGCACCATTCTGCACAGCCAGGCTCTGTGTGCCCTGGGCAGGCAGGAGCCGCAGTTCCAAGTTGTATTTTGCTTCAGAATCCATGAAGCATAGAACCTAACACAAAGCTATTTTCAGCAATGGCTGTCGGCAAAATTCCCATTCTCCAGCAATGTTTCTAGTGAACTGGAGTAGCATCCCTTACACTGCCCTCCTGTACATCCGAGGTGACACTTCCAGGCATTAAGCTTCCAGGCTCTCCTCTTGGTGGCTTACAGGCCTTCCTGTGTGTATCCCCCTGTCGATGTCGCTCCCGGCCGGCAGGAAGGACACACGACAAAGTCTGGCAGTGGACAACCTTTTCTTTTATTTTCTCTCCGTACAGCCTGCCCTGGGATCGCTCCCAGCCGAAGCCTCCTCTGGTCCGCTCTCCGCGGCTCCTTCCGGGCTTCGCTCCGAAGCCTCTACTGGTCTGCTCTCCGCGGCTCCTTTCGGGCTTCTACTTCCCCCCAGGGGTGGCACCAGTATATATACGGATACAGTGTCCAATCACATTAAAGTAAGCAAGGCAAGCTGATTGGCTAACATATTATTGAGCGGGTTGTTTACGCGGTAAGCAGGAAACTAACACACTCGATGGGAGGGGTAATCTAGCTCAGGCTTTGCTCTTTCCTACAGGCCTCACGTCCGCCAAGTAAGGCGACCGGGCTCGGGGCTGCGGCTCCCAACATCTCCCCCTTTTTTATTTTTTATGAATGTGTGCATCGTAGCCCTTCCTGGACTGGGTGCAGAGGCTTATGCCCTATGCGTAGGCCCACCGTAGGTCCTTGGCTTAGACCCTGGTCGGCCGTCCCATGGTCTGCCAAGGCCCTGAGGCCCTCGTCCTTTTTTTAGGGCCAGGCACAAACTGGACGGAACCTGGATGCACACAAGCTTGCACTCATTTCCTCTCCGTAAAGAAATCCCCTCGGAGAGAAATTTAGACCTGGGCAACATCGAACAGTCCAGCGGCTTACGTGCAGGATGGGGTAGGGCCTGGCTTAGGTTGAGTCGCACCGGGGGAGTACGCTCTTACCCGTCATTGACTCTCCTACCCAGCTATGTCATAATTTTTTAGAGGAGGAGTGTGGGCAGCTCACCGCCCCTAGACTCGGTCGTAGGCTAGGCGAGCGAGCCATGTATATGCCTGATGATCTTCTTGTCTATTTCGGGCTACCGCTATTTCTATTTATCTTGTTGGTTGGTCTGTGATGGATCTCCGGTAGGGCAGGTCTGGTCTTTAGTCGAGGGCTTTGTCGCCCGTGTCAGTCTCTCCGGTACCCACAGTGGTTCTCGTCTCGATTCCTGCAGAAAAACACAAACCGCGCCTTGGTTCCAGCTGATTACCGGATCCGGGCCCATCCATTGTCATGCCATAGATAACCGCGCCTTTGGAGGCAGGCCTTGGCTTACTCCCCCTTTTTGTTTTTTATTTTTTATTTTTTATTTTTATCTTTTTTGTTTTTTTTTTTTTTTTTTTTTTTTATTGGTGCCAGGGATCGAACTGGTGATTGCCTGCTTACAAGGCAGGCGCTTATGCCGCTAAGCTAAATCCCCAGCTCCCATTTCCTCGACCGGCGTTTTTCTCAGCCTGCTCGGCAGAGAACTCTGTGTACCAGGCTCGCCAATCCAGGTAACTACCCGAGGGCAGACACGCCTTTGCCAGCTGAATCCAGTCCGCGGGGGTGAGGGGCCCAGAAGACAGGTTCTCCAGCATGGCAATGGTGTAAGGCGCAGTCGGCCCAAAGGTTGTAACTGTATTTTTAAGTTCTCTAATCTGCTTTATCTCAAAAGGCTCCCATGCATTACGTCCCTGGCCCATAGCTACTTGTACAGGAAATATCCCGTAGGGGCCACTATCTATCCCAGGTGGTGGATGTACCTCATGAGACAAACGTCCCCCCTGCCAAAGCCGCCTGTAAAAATACCGACCCGCCGGCGGCGGAGCATAAGACGGCGGCCGTGATTGGGCGGAAAATGGGGGCCCGTGCATCACTTCCTGTTCTGGCGAAAGGGGAGGGAGCTCCCAAGCGGCCGCCTCGTGGCGAGGGATCGCTTCCGGGAACAGCTCCCAAGGTGGGGCGGAAGGCTTCGCCTCCCTCTCACGCCAGGGGGCGCTCAGGAGCTCTCTACTCCTCCGCAGACCAAGTTGAGCGGAGTGCAATTCGCGGCGCAACGCTGGGAAAGAACCCTGCGACTCCTTATCGAGCGGCCTATCCTCTTGGCATCTAGGCTCCTTGGTCTCATCGTTGTCTAAGCCTTCCTCGTTCTCGGAGTCAGACGACTCCGAGGCCTGAGCCCCGTCTTTTTCCTTTATATCTTTGTCTCTTTTGACGGACCCCTCCCGGGAGCTCCCTGACTGGGCCTGTTCGAATGCCCTACGCACTTTGATGAGCTCTTGAGAACCTTCCCTGCAACCACCCTCGCTCTTCAAGCATGCATATATCATTTCCCACAGTGGCCGAGCAAAGACCGAAGCCCCGTCCTCCCTTTCCGCTAGAGAAAGATCCCTGCCCAACTTCTCCCACGAGGGCAGGTTTAAGTGCCCTGTGGGCAAGAACCAGGGAGCGAAACTATCAATCTCCTCAAAAAAGCTCTCCAGCGTTTTGCGTCCCACCTTGAGGTCTCTGGACTTTAAGAGCTTCCGGAGGACCTGTACCAAGGGCTGGGTGTCGTTACTCGGTACGTTACCCATATTTAATATGTTACTCACCGCGTGAGGCCCAAAAATCCGCCACTTACGTGTGAGCCTGAGGGGAGTCTAAAAACCCTGTAGGTGCACGCCACCCAGGGCCCAGGTTTATCCCCTGCTCACCTGTCTCGCAGTGCTGTATCAAGGAACGTTGTCCACTACCACGTCTCGGGGGTGATCAGTTGTTCCCCGTACGGGCCACCAAATGTCGATGTCGCTCCCGGCCGGCAGGAAGGACACACGACAAAGTCTGGCAGTGGACAACCTTTTCTTTTATTTTCTCTCCGTACAGCCTGCCCTGGGATCGCTCCCAGCCGAAGCCTCCTCTGGTCCGCTCTCCGCGGCTCCTTCCGGGCTTCGCTCCGAAGCCTCTACCGGTCTGCTCTCCGCGGCTCCTTTCGGGCTTCTACTTCCCCCCAGGGGTGGCACCAGTATATATACGGATACAGTGTCCAATCATATTAAAGTAAGCAAGGCAAGCTGATTGGCTAACATATTATTGAGCGGGTTGTTTACGCGGTAAGCAGGAAACTAACACACTCGATGGGAGGGGTAATCTAGCTCAGGCTTTGCTCTTTCCTACAGGCCTCACGTCCGCCAAGTAAGGCGACCGGGCTCGGGGCTGCGGCTCCCAACATCCCCCCACACAGACCCTGCACTTTCCCCAGGGTGAGATGCTGGTCTTCTACATCCCAAGTACTGTGCTTTCACAGGGCTCCTTTGGCAGGTTGTTTCCTGCAGGCATGCTTTCGAAGTGCCTCTAGAAAGGAATCTCCAAATTTCTTCAAGTAAAAACACATCATCTGAGAGTTGATAAAAAACTTTAATGGAAGGCACTATTACCCAGTCACAGGTGACAGCGAGGTGCCACTCCTGCTTCTATCTCCATGCCTCCCACATGGCTACCCCACTGCAGGTGGCAGCTCCCCGGGGTGACCACCTCCCAAGATGTTACTCATTTTCTCTTTAAAAATAAGACCAAAAACAGTAAGCTTGGGCTAATAGCAGGAAGCAGGACCATCATAAGCGGGAGAATCACATAGAAAATAGCGCTAGGAAAGGAGGGGCATTTACTCTGTGGCCTGTTACTTCAAAGTCACCACGCAAAGCAGGGTCATTAGTAGCACAGCCTTGATTCTCACTCCGAGAGATGGTTGGGGCTGCTGTGGCTGCCACAAGCAAAACACCACGAATTCTAAAATGCGCTTTTAACTTCGGAACCTTCAAAAAACTGGGCTTCTGATTCGTCAGAATCCTGTACGGTGCCTTTCAAAACAATTTCTTTAGTGTTATCAAAAAGAAGAAATCAGCTCCTACCATTCAGCAACCGCTTGGGGCTGATGGGTTTGCCTGTCAGGGAGTCACAGGCAAGACATTGTCCCAGGTCCTCCCCAGAAGTTCATCTACAGGAAAACATCATCAAAGAAAGTAAACTTCGCTTAAAGTAGATAAAGTGTTACTCCTATGCATTAGAGCAAGCAGTCCACTCTTGAATTTCAAAAATGCTGGATTTTAACAAAGAATCACCACACGGTTGAAAGAAGGGGCTTCGAGCAGGTGCTATTTGGACATTTTGGTCTCTGAAGGTGTTTCCCCCGTATCCAGCGTCTTCAGCAAGCGAAACAGGCCTGCTGCCTCTCGTATCCTGCTGAACTCGATGCAGAAGGCCTGCACCTCGATAAACAAGTCCTGCACGTTAATAATCTTGTTACGGATCAAGGACTGGAGAAAGACACACACAAGACGCACCAAGCGATTCTGAAAAAGAAAACAGGAGTTTTAGTATACTCATTTTCTTAGTGGGTACTTAGGAAATCTATGGGAACTGTCACTACCTGCATATACTTATCCTTAATTTGTTCACAAGTAGAGATGCAATTTGATATGTAAAGGTGAATAAACTCAGGAGGTAGATCAACAGCCGTTGTCAGTCTGTTGCACAAAAGGAAAACAGTTCTGTTACCCGCTAGCATGGCGTAAAAGCACCTATGGTCATCTGGTGATATAGTCTGCTAAGGGACCCTAAGTTTCTAGTTTCAAGTATCTTGGGAAATAAGCCCAGAGCCACGCTGCGTCCTCATCAGTGACCCTTCTGTTTGTAAGCCCACACAGCACTTAACATGATTACTGTGATTCTGTTGGTCCGGATGTCAGGGAGCTTGAACCACTAGTGGAGCCTGCAAGACTGCCCATCCCGCAGCTTTTTATTCATTTTATTAGAAAAAGGCCCACAGTACATGCCGCTGAGTGGACAGTCACGTACGTGCCACTGTGGTTCCAGGCAGCATCAACACAGCAGCCAATCATCACAGCATTTGTCCCCGGTATAAAACAGAAGGGCTGAGGACACAGCTTGGTGAGCCTCCTGCAGCAGGCACAGGTGCTAGCTTCAGTCCCCAGCACTACCTGCACATGTGCGCACACACACACAAACCCAGTCTACAACAAGGTGTTCAAAACCTGCGCTCTGACTGTGCTTGCCTGGTCCCCAAGGCTGCCACACCAGCTTCTCGAGGCCATGCTACTACTGGAAGTATGTGTGTAAAGAGAGTGTAACATACACAGACAGTGCCCAGACTCTGTGCAGACACAAGTGCACCCTTCCTGCTAGTGACAGCGAAGTACGGAGGCAGAGGGAGCCTGAGAAGGGGACCTGTGCTGTCCTAGCTACAGCTGTTCATCTCCAAAAAAATAAATCCATCTAAGCAGGAATTTAACTACAGGCCATGAGTTATAGGAGTCAAGTCTGACGTACGCCTAGAAACAAACACAGCAGTTTTTACTTATTCTCCCCAACATGAAGCATGCTGGATGCTGGCCTTGGCTGCATTCACATGCCGAGAACCCTGAGGCCCAGCTTTGCGCCTCCACGGGTTACCTCAGCCCAAGAAGGAATCAGGATGGCTATGTCCACACGTCTGGGGAGGAGCCAGACACTCACCGGTTCACGACTTCCATGGAGTGCAAGGACATGTCCATGTTGACCAGCACGGAGAAGTACTCAGTGATCTGGCTGGACTGCATCAATTTCAGCAGCATCTCTATGGCAACCAGAGGGTTGTTCTCCACCAGGTCTGGGAGCTTGGCTGGAGTGAGGCCAATGTGGTAGACAAGTTTGGGGTCCTTCTCCAACTCGCCAAGCAGCTAAAGAAAACCAAGATTTTAAAGAAAATGACTGAATCATACTAGAAACTTTCTGCAGGCAAAATAAGTATTTTTCCTAAAAACACTTTCATTGGACCAATTTTGTAAGTCTCCTCCTTCAAACCCATGATTTTCATGTCCTGACATTTTTACATTTAGACCTGAAGCATGGCATCATGGAAGACAGTGTGCCTGTCAGTGATGCCTCCTGGGCGGGAGACAGACCAAACACTGGTAGGCGGGAGACCACTGTCCCATAGCAGCTGTATCACCCCTGGCTCCCTGTGGAAGGGTTTCTCCTGCCATCCACTACAATCAAAAGTAATCCAAGTACCAGCAAGTTCTCCCAGCCACAGGGTCAGGAGGCAGCCTCGACAGCTGCCCGTCCTGCCTAAGTAGAGACCAGAAAGACCTGCAGGGCGGGGCACTGCAAGCCCCCACCCTGGCGCGATTTATGCTGGCTCACACCCACACTCTGCACTCCAAACAGAGCTCCTCAAGCACACTTTCGCCGAGTATCTCCTTTCACACTGTCCACACTCTCTTCCCTGCCCACAGTCAACCTGGGTGCTGAAGGGCCTCACAAAGCAGACTGCAAGCACAGCTACTACATACTTGGCTCCGAAAATATTCTGAGGGTAACGGCTGGGAGCTGCTATCTCCCTACTAGGTCTGACTTGAAACTGTGTAGACTGCATGCAGTTGACCAAGCAGAAACTGCTCAGGACAGTGCCCTGCCTCGGCGGGGGGCAAAGGGCACCCCCAAAACGGGCCTGAAGCTGTCTCACTTCCAAGTTACTGTTCCACTCTCAAGGTGCACCGCATGGCGCACAGGGGCAGGGCTGGGCAGGGTCCCCACAGGTGAGACTCTGAGGCTACAGAGTGAGACCCACACTGATCACCAACAAAGCAGAAGTACTTTGAATCTTTGCACCTCTTGCCCCAGCAGAGTCAAATACCAAAGTGAGGTGGGCCAGACATCCTGGAGCCTGCCTGCTGCGGCACAATGGAAGCAAACTTGCCAGCTCGCCAAGGCTTCTGTTTCCATCCATACCTGTGTTTGCTGCGGGGAAGACAAGGGGCTTTTGAAGGCCTTGGCCATGATCCGCTTGATCTCCACCCCGGTGCTGTTCTTCACGCACATGGATTTATCCCACTGAACGGTGTGGTCGGGCTCAGTAGGGTTGAGCCAGGCTAGCTCGTCTTCACAGATGTGCAGTGGAGGGGGTGGCCGAATAAACTCCGGCCGGAAGTGACCTGTGACCACAGGGGCAGTGTGTGACTGCGGCTGTGAGCTACCTCAGCATGCATTTCACACCTCACAAGGTGCAATACTCACACTCAAAAACCAGGACGGGGAGGAAGAAGAGGGCAGGAGGAGGAGGAGGAGGATTGCTCCAGAAAACCCCTCATTCAGAACATGACCCACAATACAAGGACCCTAAGTGACCTCATAGGGCCTAACAGGCCTGGTCCTTCTGGGCGAGAAGGACATGGAGCCCTGACTGACAGGCGAGGTGCTGTTCTCTACTCATTCTAACCTGTCATTCTCTGTTCAGAAACCACTGAGATTTGTACTGGTTTTATCTTTCTGCTCTATAGCTCTGAACGGACAAATTATATGATGAAGTGACAGAAGAAAGCTGACCTTCCTGACATTTTCCAGGGAGAACGGAGTAACTCAAAAATGCTGGAACTCCAATACCGTATCCAGTTCCACCCAGAGCTTGCCAAGAGAGCGCAGGCGTGGGAAGCCAGGCTGGCCTGTAAGTGGTTCCTACTGCCAGGGCTCCCACTAGGGGCTCCGCTCCCCCAGCAGGCAGAGGTGGCACCTCCCTGCCACACCAGAGATGACTGCTCACTGCCATCTCCCGTCTTCTGGTTGAGAACCCTCACACCTCCCCATCGGCGCCCCCTCTGTGACAGCAGCGGTGTCCTCAGGCCACACGCAGACAGCAGGTCTTCAACCTGAGCTACCTGGGGCCTGCAGGGCAGCCAGGTGCCTGCCAGGTGACCGCGCCCTGCACTGTCTGCCCACACTGTCCCAGGCAGACGCTGTCACACACGGCAGACCTGCAGGCACATGTGTGGCCAACTGCAGCTTTAAATACGCCAACCACGTATGCCTCAGCCCTAGTGTAAACCAAGCGGTGTGGGGAGTCACACAAAGCTCTCAAGTCCCAGTCACCCAGGGTCTGGGCAGCAGGTTCTCCCGGCCGGCGGTGGTCACCCGCACTCCACGAGGAGGGCTGCAGAACCAATGCAGCTACAGCACCCAAGCTCAGGAGTGCTTCTCTGAATTGCAGTAATTAAAGGCTCTAAAATCAGGAAAATTTTCAAGTGGAAAAGGTACTGACAGTGATATGCTTGTTAAAGAGGTATAAAACACTGCCCCTTGTTACGTAATGAGCTTCGAAAACAGATTCATTTCAGCCGCAATCCCAGCACTTGGGAGGCTGAGGCAGGAGGATCAGCTTGAGCCTGAACTACACAGACAAGTCAGCCAGCTACACATTGACATCTTGCCTCCCACACTCACACACATGTGCCCTACACATTGATACCTTGCCTCTCACACTCACGATTCATTGTAGTATAATTAGTGCACACCTGCAAGTATGCTTATGATAAATATAATAGTTGTATAACTTGTTTAAGAGGGAAAACAAATTTGCACTGACATCTCTATTACATTAAAGTTTAGCTGATAATACAACAGTTTTGAAAACCAGAAAAGCGGTAGGGGATACTAACAAAATAAATGAGTCTAAAGTAAATGCACAGATGCACCTACTTTCAATCGGTGGCTTGGGTCCGCTGACCAAAGATTCTGTGATCCGAGAGGCCACCGAGCTGTCAAACCCCGAGTTAGAAGAGTCCGGGTCGGGGTCGCTGAGGATGCTGGGGAAGCCGGCCTTGCTCTGTGTCGGCAGCTCCGACTGGCGCTCTGAGTCAAGTTAAGACAAGAGACACTTTAGAACCGAGCACACCATGCACCAGCGAGGGGACAACTCCTAGCTGGGGTGGGCATCTCTTCTAACTCTTAGAAACCGATGGCCCGTTGGAAAAGACAGCCTCACACTTTAACAGGCATTTACAAAAAGCGAGTTCAGATGGCCAAAGAACAGCTGGAAAAGATGTTAGGAACTAGGAAGTATCAGTTCAATCAGATGGCACACACCGATTAGCAAAAATAACAAGCCTGGCATCATAAAGGAAGGCAGGCAACAAATAACTCCCTGCCACTGGGAATGAAACTGCAACAATTTGACACAGCTGATCCAGACATTTTAGGCTCTGGATGAATGATTTGGGATGACAATGTACAACCTATGTACCAATTATGTGTTTCGAAATTTTGTTTCCGTTTTTCTCCTTAAAATAAAATGGATTTGGAAAAAAAAAAAATGTGTCTTTGTTTTGAGACATGGTCTCATTATGCAGTTCAGGCTGGCCTTGAGCTCACTCTGGAGCCCAAAATCTCAAGCTCACAAGGATCCTCCTGACTCAGTCTCCTGAGTGCTGGGATTACAGGCCTACACCACCAGGCCCAGTGCTAAAAAAACAATTTGACAGCAACTTTGGAAAACCAGCTGATACTACTTAGTCAGGTCTTAAGGATGTCTTCTACTGAGAATCATCTCCTCCTGTGTCCCAAGACAATGTACAGAAATGTTCTCAGCAGGATCTGTCCACGTGGACACTGCATGTACAACTACGGTGACAGGTGACAGCTGTAGGACATGCTGCTGATACAGTCCTCTCTCAGACGACACCCTAAGAAGCAGGAGGGTAACAGAGTGCAGTGGTCTGTGCACCACGGCACACATAACTGGGAAAGAACACCAAATGCTAGGGCAGGAATGGGGAAGAGACACAGGGTGCCTCTGGCCCTAGAAATGGTCAGTGTTTGTCTTCTCTGAGACAGGGTCTGGCTGTGCTACCCATGGCTGGTCTTGAACTCCTGGGCTCACACTCCAGACCATCCTCCTGCCTCAGCCTCTCAGGTGGTGGAGCCTACAGATGTGTACAATCAGGCCTGGCATATTTCACTTCCTGGTCTGCAAGGCAACTCCCCAGGTTGTTTACTGTAATTCCTTAAAATGGAAAAGGCACATTCAAAGAACTACTTCAGATCTTCTCATTTTAAAAAACAAAAAGGGCTAAATTCCTGATGCAAGACTATCGACCCAAAGGAACAATGGCCAAAACAGGAAAAGGTGGGTGCGTCGGATGGTCAGCGTGACATGAGGTCCACCTAAGAAAAATGCTAACACTACCTGGTGCCACTTCCCATCTCCAATTCTGGAACACAAAAGTTAAGACAATGCACTTTAGACCAGGACACTGGAAAAAATTTTAAATTGGCAAATTGTGGGGTGAAATCAGTATGTCCAGTCAGAAATTTTACATATGTGCTTACAGTACTGGTGCTTAAACCCAGGGCGCTCGCAATGGCTTCATCCCCTGCCCTTTTCTTAAGTCTTGGAGGCAGGGTCTACCAAAGTTGCCAAGTTACCCAGGCTAGACTCAGGCCCTGACCATTCTGCCTCAGCCTCCCAGGGCGTGGGATCAGTTATGAACTACCATGCCCAGCTGTCAGGAGTTTTATATGCTTACTGGCATTAAAAAATGGAGTTTTTCATTTAGGATCCAGGCACTTTCCTTTATAATGAAAGATCTTCCCATCCCAAAATCCATTTTATTACAAATGATAATGCCATTCAATTTTTGGGGGGGGGGGGGGTACTGGGAACAAAACTCAGACCTCGTGCCTGCCAGGCAGGAACGTCCTACTAAACTACATTCCCAGCCTTATTGGGGGGATGAGGCGGGTACCAGGGATCAAACTCAAACTCACAATCTTGCGCTTGCCAGGCAGGCACTTGGGCCACCAAGCTAAATCCTCAGCAGCCCCAGCCTTGAATAAAAGGCCTTAACCTCAGCAAGGTGAAGGTGATAAAGGAGCGCACACACTGTGTGCCCAGAGAAAAGCCCCCAGCGATTGCTCCTCACCAGCCAGGGCCAGCTGGAGTCCGCTGATGTCCACTGACTGGCCCATGTTCCCCACGTCCATCAGCGCGATCTGGCGCGGTGTCTTTTTGAACAGCTCCCTTGGGGGTGCCAGCATCAGCTGGGAGAGAAAGAACTTTTCTGGTGGAGTTATAGGCGGTAAAAATCCTGCAAAGAAAAACGTAGAATGGTTTCTCCAGTGCCTGCTTTGAAAAAGGAATTTGACTGGTAACACCAGCCTCTGCTACCTGCCATGTCAACTGAAGTAGTTGATACATGCGTAGATGCATGAACCCTGTAATTCAGTGTCACCTGCAGTCTGCAATCTGTGGCACTATCAATGACACTCAAGGCTTTGGCAACTATGAAGAACTTCATTTTCTAAAGTAGCTCAATTCCAGCAAAGACCAAAGCTTACAAGTAAAGAAAAGGCCAGCAGGACAGCACCATCTTTTCTGTGCCTCTGCCTGTGCACCAGGGGAAGAAGCAGTCATCGGAGACAGGACACTGCACAGTGACACAGCCTCCCTGGGCGGTGCTCCCTGCTGTCCCCTTTCAGCTGCCCAGTGGGCTCCTCCAGGCTCCTCCTGCTGACTCAGATCCAACACCCACCATGTCCCTCAGCTTCAGCCCCAGCCCCTGCACTCACTTGGGCTACAGCTCAGACTTCCTGATGTCCCAGCCCCAGTTCGTTTTTGTTCTTTTCTTTTCTGTTTTTTTTGAGACAGAGTGTCATCATCCAGTTCAGGCTGGCCTTGAGCTCACTTTGTAGCCAGGCTGGTCTGGAACTCCCAATGATCCTCCTGCCTCAGCCTCCCAAGTGCTTAGACTGCAGGTGTGTGCCACCATGCCCAGCTGATTGTCATTGTCTTAATTCTCTTTTTCCTGGGCTGTGGTCAAGACTGTACCATCACAGCTCTAAGCCCTGCAGGCCACCATCCTGTCCCCGTGGCCCCTAACCATTAGGCTGTATTTCAGGAGCACAAATGTGATTGTGGCACTAGACTTACTTATGCAGAATTAAACCCAAACCTTTAACCTCACCTCTTGACTTCCCTCCCATGCGTGTTCTCTGTGCTGAGTGGACGAACCCCTTGACTCGTGAGGACACACCTAGTTGTTTAACAGTCCCCACCCCAGCCACATCTTCCACAGCTGTCCCAGCCCATGTCAGGATCTGATGAAAACATCCCACTCTGAGCTCTCCGAGCTCCACAGCTGTCACTCTGCAGGCAGCACCCTGCTTGTCACTTCTCTCACAGTCTCTGCCACGCTGTGTGGGTTACATTCTTTTTCCTAGTAAGACCGCAGCAAGCGTGTCCTTTTTTCTTACTTCCCAATACATCCTCAATCCTAAGGCTGCTCTGAATCATCTGATAAACTTTCTAAGTGTACACTTGTCACGGCTGGAGGGGTACCTCAGGGGTAAAAGGCTTGTCTAGCATGCTGGGAGCTCTGAGTTCGAGTCCCCACTACTGCACAAAACACGAGTATAACACACAAACACGCACACCTGTTAGATACCCACGCTGAACACAGAGGAATAGCAGCCCTAAGAGCAGGGCTCTGATATTGCTGTTTCCTTGTCATGTGTATTCCAGCCCCATTCTTACATGCTTTAGTAACAGTAATAATAATAATGGGGAATAATTAATATGACAACTCTGCCAGCTAGGGGAGTCTGGTGTCTGCGTTTTACAGGTGAAAAAAACTGAGGAACATGGAGCATTAATAACAAATCCACGGGTTCCTTCTCTAGCAGTTACCTCCGCTTCCCTCCAAATTTGACAATGCCTTCTACAGGTGAAGGATTACACTCAACACATCTGAGAAAGACTTTATGACGGAATAACACTTCCTAATCTGCCCTTCACAACTGTTTCTAACCTAAATCCCTACTGTTCCCGCCTCCCTAGTCTAAGCGTCCATCTGCGAGGGCAAGTCTTTTCTGTTGTTATTTGTTTTTTGAGACAGTCTTGCTGTGTAGCCAGGGCTGGCCTTGAACTCACAGCTATCCTCCTGCCTCAATCTCCTGAGCAGCGATTACAGGCGTGCCCCCGGCAAGCCTGGCCTCAGGAGCAGCTTTTCAATACAGAGCTATCAGATGTATTCATCTTGCAGTCGTTCACAAACCTCCCAAAAGCCAAGGGAATGGCCTGTGCCCTCCAATCATCTCCGTCCAGTCCCCTTTTGAGACTGCTCCGGTCTAGAGAGGCGGCAAGCACACTTGCTAACTTCCAATGTAAAGGCCTTCCTGTGCACCCTCACCTCTTAACTCCGCTGTCCCAACCACACTGGTCCTCCCTTTCTTCCCCTGGCTGAGGATGGAAGATCGTGCCCTTTCCCACCAGTCTACTCCCTGCGGCCAGACCCCAAATGCCACTCAGAGTCCTCCTGCCCTCCTAGTACCCTATCTCCTATCACTGCATCTGCACCCTCCTAACATCCTATGTCCTATCACTGCCCCTGCACCCTCCTAACATCCTATCTCCTATCACTGCATCTGCACCTGCCCCAATGCTGCTTCGGCTGAAAGGACAGCCTCGGGCTGAGGGTGCACCTCCGAGATACAGCGCTCGACCAACTCTGCCCACCCCGCGGCAGAACCTGGGTCTGATCCCCAGCACCGGAGGACAGCAGAGCACCCCTCACAGCCTGCGCACGTCAGGTCTCGGCGATGTCGCGCGAGCACCGTGCTGCGCAACGCCCAGGAGATGCGCGACGGCTGAGCCGTGGATTCCAGCCCAGCTCTGCACACAAGGAGACGTGAAGGAAAGCAGCTGCAAAGTCCGCCCATGCTCCTCCTACCCCAAAGCTCCTCGTGCTCCCTAAGGATCACAGGTTTCGCTTTCCCTGAGGCTTTTAAACGGGGGTGGGGAGGGGCCGGGGGCTCAGAGGAGTCCCGCACTAGCACCAGCGCCCCAGGGGAAAAAATGCAGTCACCACGTAAGTACTGCAAGCATGCACTCGCAAACATGAACACTTTTAGAAACTTGAGGCGGTGGCAGGCAGCCTCAGATCCCGACTCTGCACGGCTGCGGCTCCGGGCAGGCCGCGCCCCCACCCCGCCGCCCGCATGCCCCCAGCCCTGGGTACCTGAGAGCGGCGGGCGGTCGGGCTCATGGCCGCCACGAGCGGACGCAGACGCGGGTGCCGGCGGCGCGGGGTTGAGCAGGTGTGCGAAGCTGGCGGCGAAGGGGTTGGCGGCCAGCGGCTCGGTGCGGTACATCTCCCACAGCAAGTAGAGCGCCGTGAGCCGCTGCGCCGCGCTGGGCAGCAGGTCGGGCTGCTGCAGCAGCATGACGAGCACCGAGCCCAGGCGGAAGTGGTCGGCCTTGCTGAAGTAGTGGTGGAAGGCGGTGGACAGGCCCTCGAAGGTGCTGCCGCCGCCCGCCTCCTCCGAGATGATGCTCAGTAGGCTCGACAGCTCCTTCGGGCTCAGGCTCATCCTGGCGGCCGCGCCGCCCGCGCCGCCCGGCCCGGGGCCGTCTGCTCCGCCCCTACCGCCGGGTCCCGTTGGGCCACTTCTGGCCGCCGCCGCCTCCCGGGGCACCTTCTGCTCTGCGGCGGTGAGGAGCCGGCCAGACGCCGCCACGCTCGCCCCACCGCCGCCGCCGCCGGGCATCAACCTCGGCCGCCCGCCCTGCTTCCCGGCCCGAGCGGCCCTGGCGCCCGAGCGCCCCGTCCTCGCGGCCGTAAAGCGCGCTGTGGCACGACAGCGTCGCAAACAACACACGCCGCGCAAGCCGGGCAGCAGAGGCGAGGGACTGCGCCGGGCCAAAGAGAGGTTGGTGGAACCAGGCCAAGTGGAGGATCCGGAAACGTGAGGTGGGCGGGAGACGCTGCCGGAAGTAGTGCGTGGACTACGGGAGGCGGGGCCTGTGGAAGGCGGGGCCGGGCTCTGATCCGGACACTGCTCGGTTCGCGCAGGCGTGCTGTGGCAGATGCGAGCGGGTCCTGTTTGAGTCACTGAGGCAGATGCTGGCCCCCTGCGGTCCAGGCAAATGTTGGATTGTTTGCTGTTTGAGAAATATATTTTTACCGGGCGTGGTAGTGCACGCCCATGATTCCAGCACTCGGGAGGCTGAGGCAAGGGGATACCCGTGAGTAGTCCTAGGCCACCTTGGGTTACAGTACTTCAAGGCCAGGCTGAACTACCCAGCGACACCCTGTCTAAAAAAAAGAAAAGAAAAAGAATACGTTTTGGCTAGCTTTCCTAATATAGCATCCGTGCCTCTCAATGGCAAAAATATGTTCAAGGAACTACACATTTCCTGTTTGACCAAATTTACTTTCTGCCTTTACACTTTTTTCTTTTTTTCAGAAATGCAGTCAACGCACAGGAGCTTTCATGCATGCTTATTCTAATGATACTTGAGAGAATTTTGCCAAGAAATACTTAGTTAGAAAACGATAGTGCTGCTTTTGACTTGGCCTGCCCTAGGGCGCTTATCCTGAGTCCTGGTTAAGCATCATGAACCTAAGACCCTTCATAAATACTAGTTCCTGGCCCAGTTCTGACTCCGGTATTAATAAAACGCATTTCCCAGGTAACTGAGCTGCAGTCCAGGCCGAGATCGACCAGGGCTGCGGGGTATTTCGCCCCTTTCTAGACCTAGAGTTCCATAGGCTTGCAGACCACCTGATGAGGGGAGCACAGCCCTCAGAGCCACCCGGGCACCCCACAGAGGACCCAGGCAAGGCCCTCCCAAAGAAGCAGGATCCTTTCCTGAGGACCCAGTTGCCCTTAAGTCACCGGGCCCCTGGAGAGCTATGGAAACCAGATCTGAATTAAAGATACTTAGGACCTTTGTACTTCTCTACTGACCCTAAAAGGCTGGCCTGGTGTTTTCGTGGATATGCTGGTCTGCCCGTTTGTCAGAGAGCATCCCCTCCAGCGACTCAGATTGCAGCCTTTCTGTTCTCCCTTGCTGAGCAACAAACTAATAAATCTTTGCCTCCACAGCCACATGTGGTGGCACACACACTCAGGAGGCTAAGGCAGGGGGATTGCTGCCAATTCAAGACCAGCCTGGGCTACAAAGTGAGCTCAAGGCCAGCCTGAACTGCCTCAAAAAAGCCTGTCTCAAAAAAATAAATAAATAAATCTGTGCGGCACTCTGACCTGTGGTGACATTCCTTTCCAGTGACAATGGCCCACGAAACACAAACTCTGACTCCCTCTTTCCCTCTTTGCAGCTACCCCTTTCCAGGTCCTCTCCTGCATCTCTGGGCTGGGAGGCAAGAGACAACTGTTGAAAATCATTGCCTGGGCGGGGGTTTAGCTCAGCAGCACAAGCACCTGCCTGGCAAGCTTGAGGTCATGAATTCCATCCCCAGTACCCCTACCAAAAAAAGAAAAAGAAAATCATTGCCTTCTTCAAGCAATGATAGTGTCTTATCTATTTTCTGTTGCTAAAACTGAATACCTCACATGGAATAGTTTATAAAGAATAGAGGTTTAGCTGAGTATGATGGCACATGCCTGTAATTCTGGCACTGGGGAGGCTGAGGCAGGATGATCTCCTGGAATTTGAGGCCAGAGCAAGACTCTGTCTAAAAAAACAGAAAAAAGGTAGCGTGGGGTTGTAGCTTAGTGGCATAAGTACCTGCCTGGCCATTGCAAGGTCTTGAGTTTGATTCTTGGTAAAAAAAAAAAAAAAAAAAAAAAAAAGAGACATAAATACTAGGGAAAAAAAAGGGTTTGTTTGTCCTCTGGTTCTGGTGGTTGGGAAACCCAAAAGCATCTCCCTGGTCCCTGCTGAGGACCTTGCTGCTGCAGCATAAGGTGAACAGACAGCAAGTGTGTTGGCTGAGGTCTCACTTCCTTTCTGTGAAGCCACCCATGCCAACCTCTCGTCCTAAGGACCCACCACCGGTGTACAGTTTGGGGATTCATTTTCCAGCATGTAAATTTGGGGATGGCAGACAGTTCGCTTGGTCCTGTGTACTCCACCAGTCAAAGACTCTAACTTGAGCTTCCCAGCTCCCTCGGGGCTGGCATTTGACCACAGTCGCTCCCAAGGCTGGTGAGTTTTCTGGGTGGCTTCAGGTACTGGAATTGGCATATTGGAGCTCACTGTGGTGTCCTGAGCTGGAGCCACTGATAGGACCTGTGACCGGATGTCTCATGACACAGCATGTGTGCCACACGTTTGCAGCAGATGTCGTGAGAAGGAATGTCACTTTTCTCTATACTGTGTGAGTCAAGTGCATTCAGGATCTGACCTGAGATTAGCTGCTCCATATCATCCAGGCCACATGGGTACCCTGGATACCCTGTTGCGTGGAGGAGAAGCAATCCCAGAAAGGGAGACACACAGACCCTGCCACTGTGCTGGTAGCCGTTGCAAGTCTGTTCACAGCAGCTGTCACCCTGCAGCACGTGCTCCTCATCCACCTTCAGTAGACATAAGCCCCTGCCGCTTCCTCTGCATGGCTTGTCCAGTTCTTTGTTCAAGGCACCAAGAACCTGGAAAGAATCACTCTGGACTCAGATGCTGGTAACGCTGTCACTAACATCCCAGGTGTCCACACCAGCAGAGTTTGCTGGAGCCTGGATTCCTCATAACACACATCCTTCCACAGCCTGAGCTGGGAGGCAGGTGTTGGGCTTGTTTGCTTCACTCCCTAAGCCAATGTCCAGGCTCCGGGTCTCACACAGTTCCAGCCTCTCGCTTGCTGGTTTCCAGTGCTCTATGGGTCACTCATCTCAGAAAGCGGCTGCTCAGCTGCTCACACCTGTTACTTTAGTTCTTTGCAGTAGAGATTAGAGTCGGGTACCTCTGTTCTGTTACCCTGAAACCCTCTCTTGTACCATGCTTCAAATTATAAGTCTCTAAAGCTTGGGAATGGGGCCCAGGCGAGGCAGTGCACACCTGTCATCCCAGCACTTGGGCGGCTGAGGTAGGAGGATCAATGCAAGTTCAAGGCCAGCCTGGGCTACAATGTGAGTTCAAGGTTAGCCTGAGCTGCATAGTGAGACCCTGTCTCAAAAAGACAAAAATAAGAAATAAAAAAGAAATAAAGCTTGAGAATGGAGAATAGATCAGTAATTGCAAGGGGTAGGGGTGGCAGAGTTCCAAGAGGCAGATGTGACCCTGAGGGCATAGCAGTCGTGATGGTGGTTGTGAGAATGTATTTGCACCTGTGATGACATTTTGAGAGCTGTGTGCACACCTGGACGTTCCCTGGTTGTGACTGTGTCCTGCAGGACGTCACCCCTGAGGAAAACAGGTAAAGGGTGCTGGGACGTCGATTGGTGTTTGCTTTTACAGCTTCCTTCCCGTGAACCTGTGCCTGTCTCCAAATCAAACATTCAATGCTGTACACTAACAAAAAGAGCTTCATCATCCTGTGTTATGTTTGCCAATGCCCAAGCTTTGACCAAATTACCTGTTAATTCCCTTTGCAAACACAACTATTTTCTACACCCGGACCCCCAGGGGCATCGACCACATTGTTGTAAAATAACTGTAGCCCTGGCATACTGTTCTGTAAGTGCCATCTCCTGGGTGACCTGATTGATAGGTTAACCATCAGTTCCCCTCTGCAAAGGACAGATGTTAATCTAAAATTAAGTGCTGAAATTAGCTGACAAAGGACTGTAAATTCCTGGGAATCTTCTCTGTCCTCAAGCAAAGGGAGACAAAGGTCTTCTTAATTGTTCTTTCTAGAAAAGTCTGTTAAAATTTTAAGCCAGTTACACAGCTTTTGCAAACTCCAACTGCACTGTATTGCTGGTGCCAGGATAAATAAAAGCGCTCCTTTTTCTTTAAAAAAGACATCTTGCCCCATTTTTTGGACACCATTTTGGGGGCTTGTTTTTGGGGTACGACATTCAAAAAGTCACATCCCAGGGTTCTTCTGGCACGTTAAATGCAAAAAGATAAAACATCCCTGTGAGGCGCATGTGTGTATACAAGGGTGCATGTATGGTCAAAGGAAAAATCGAGCCAGAGTAGTGTTTGTTGGGGACACTTCAGCCGTAGCTAGGAAGACGTGGCTGACCACCTGAGCCCTGTTTGCTGCTGAACCTTCGAACTAAGCCAAATGGTAAAGAGGGCCAAACCACAATTTCCTAAAACATTGTGCTGTCTGATGACGTTTTGTGTCCTAAATTCCTTCCCCTAAACTACCCAGAGGCTGAGACCATACTCAGGCCTTTCTTATAAACAGTCACCTTTTCCCAGCCCTGGGTCAGAATTCTCAAGTGGTATCATTTTCAACCCATCACCCTCTATGCTGCCACCCTTTTGAGAACCTGAGGCCCATCTTCAGTGCTGCTGGACCCTGGGATCTTACTGAATGGGGTTGGCTAGTGTGAGGAGGTAGGACTCCCCAGTCTCAGATCTACTGCTCTGAGGATGGGGGGTGAAGGTATTGATTTATTTTTGTCTTTTTGAGACTGGGTCTCACTATGCAGTTCAGGCTGGCCTTGAATTCACTTTGTAGCCCAGGCTGACTTTGAACTAGCAGCAATCCTCCTGCTTCAGCCTCCCAAGTGCTGGGATTACAGATATGCACCTCCATGCCTGGCATTGTGTGAAGGTATTTTTGGGACAGTGAAGCAGGTAGACTGGGGCCGAGTAACTGGCGATGGGAGAGGGAGGCCATCGATGGTCCCCACACACAAGGTCAACTTGATGGCTCTTCACAGGATCCAATGCCAGCAATAGCTTTGACACACTGAGGAGGGGAAGTTCTCAGACTTGTGACATCAGAAGGCTGCCTGGTGAGCACCTGCAGGAGGCCAAGTGAGAAGCAGTGATTTGGGCTGGACTGAGGT